GAAAAAATTCTTTGTGACATTTTTGAATTTATTTATTTGTTGAGCTCAGGAGAAAATATTCTAAGTGACAGTTTTGAATTTATTTATTTGCTAACCTTATTTGATTATCTCAGTAGAAAAAATTTTAAGTAAAAGTTTTGAATTTATTTATTTGCTAACCTTATTTGTTGATCTCAGGAGAAAAAATTCTAAATGACAATTTTGAATTTATTTATTTGCTAACCTTATTTGTTGATCTCAGGAGAAAATATTCTAAATGACAGTTTTGAATTTATTTATTTGCTAAACTTATTTGATTATCTCAGTAGCTCGACTAAGGCTCCCAAGACCACCACCTATCTGCCTACGTAAGAAATCTAAAGATCTTGTTCGCAAATTATACTAGAAGTAATTTTTACCATAAGGGCCATATAAATTTAACTTCTTCAAAAATTTTATGATGTTTAACAGTTTTGACTTTCCTTTTAATTTTTGAAGCACAACATTTGAATTTGATTTAAAAATGCGCCAGACTGTTAAATGGGAGATTTATATGCCGCACAGAACGTTAAGTATATACTAGATATACTTTAAGTATCTTGCCTGCTGAGATATTTTGCTGGACAAGTTCTGTTTAATAGCAAGTTTGAAAATGTATTTATTATTCCAAGCTGATAATTTACAGTTCATACCGTAATTTTACGGTTTATAGTTTTTCAAACGTACAAACCTACATATAAATGTAGGTTTGTTAGTTTTAGACAATAATGTGTATTTAATTTTTCCAACAACAGAAAATTATCACACTTATTTCAATATCAAAACCAAGTACAAATTTTTTTTTTATTTTTTTACAAGATCAAAGGCTACATAATGTATAGCGTTGCCTAAAAAATAGCAGAAACATATAGCAGCGCCTAAATTATAAATGAGAACAGCTTTTGCTGACCTATTCCTCAGAACTATCCTTACTGAATCTTTTTTCAGCTCCTCGAATTTTAAAGTTATGGTATTGTTTCATTTGTTTGAGTTTTTCAGTTTCAAATTTTTTTTGGAATTCAATTCTATCCATTTCATATCTTTTTTGGAGCTCTATCACTTCCAAACGACGACGATGTTCCTCAACTGCAATATCCATGACATCCTTGATCGTCGAATGCTTGGTACCTAAAAAAACATTGCACAGAGTGGTTATTATTTAAGTTATACTGAAATCTCTTCACATGGAGTCAACGCTAAGTAGCGGATGTTAATGAAGAATCACATTACATGTAAGGGACAAGATTTTGTACTTATCCTTATTAACTTGGATAAGTTAAAATAATATTGTAATTCTTACGAAACGATTAAAAAAAAGTTATTTTGCTCTTGATTTAAGTTTTTTAAGCACCATAAAAAAGAACTATATGGTAACTGTAAATGATACTTCGAGTTAGCTTTATATTAAAATTTCATCTCAATACATAAACATTTTAACAACACCATTGTTATTAAAAGTGCATTTTATTTTATTTTATAACCGTCGTTAAACAGCTAACCCAATTTTTGGGTTTACGAATACTAATATTCAACTCCGTAGCCTTGTAATTTTGAACGCCATCCAAAAAACGAAGGAACTCCTANTATGAAATATTTACCCCGACCTGCCCCAATTTAGGGCATACGGGTAAATGTTTATTAAAATCAAGATATTTATTTTTTTATGTAAAAACATCTTAAGTTCTTATTAAAGCATGCATTATATACTTCATTTATTTAAATTCCACTTTTTTAAAAGAGCTAAATGCGGCACTCTATTTTCTGAATTAAAAAAGAACATTATAACCTTAGATAACCTCTCTTTTGACAGCATTTTAAGACCGAAAGAGTCTGGATGTTTAGATCCGAACAGTTTAAATGAGTTATAGAAGTGATTAAAGATTTTTTAAATTAACAGTTTCAAGACAAGTACTTGAGACTCAACTGCAATAACTTTAAAAAAAACAATCAGGAAACTAAACAAGGAAAGAATTTTAAAAAATATATTCGTTTCTGTCGAAGATCATGAGGAATTTTTCTCACAGTGAGTAAATAATATTCTCCTCTAGTTTAAGGATACGAATTTCGTCAAAAGCTTTATGTTTACTTAAATTAATGCAACATATAGATAATTATATCAATATATAAATAATTGAGAACCTGATTAGAAACACATCATAAAATGTAAAGGAATCTGAGGAACATACATGCATTGAATCTCGATAATCTCTGAATAATCCTGCCGTACAATGCAAAATACAAAATCGGATAAAAATAAAGATTGTAAAGTAACAAAATTGCACTGGGAAATCACACGAGTGAGGAGAAAGTTTGGACAAACATTTAAGACTTCGTGATTGACTAAAATAAATCAGGGACGGTTTGCAAAAATAAGGAAATTTAGCTAAAGTATTACTGACTCGTTAAAATGAAAATCCTTCTAAAGAGAGTGAAGAAAATCATCAAAAACGCTGACTATCGTAAAAAGTTTATTAGCGGGCACGCTGTTTAATGAAATTTCAATCACTTTTGAAAATCAACAGTTTTACTAGTAAAACTGTTATACTAGCTTCCTCCAGCAACATGTTTGTTGCTATTACCCACAATATTTTACAGCTCTTCACTGCCACAAGGTACGATAGATATGTAGCGACGCCCGGTAGCTAAGTGGTAGCGTTTAGCGTTCTCGTGCCACAGTTCTTCCTCGTTCCGGTGGCAAGGTAGATTCAATCTTTCATCCCGTCTGTGGCTTGATAAAATGAATACCAAGCATTATTGGGGACTAAACACTGGGGGTTCCGCTTCCGGTTGACCACCTAACCTGAGAATCTGCTCCTACACCCCAGAGCCCAAGATCAAGAAAATTGAGGTAGGCACAGTAGACCTTGGCCCTCTATGAGCTGTAGCGCTACTGAAAATTAGTAATTAGTCGTAGTATATATAACCGTATATATGTAACCGTAGTCGACTCATTTTTGACTTAATAAAATGATTGACTGACTATATATATATATATATATATATTTATACAACGAAATAAATAAATACAAGAAAACACGAAGAAAGTTAAGAAAAACAATAAGTTTCATTAATTGCGCATAAGCTGCAAGTAAACGGAACTCATTAGATAAGTTCAAAATGAAGAAGGGATATCATTTCGGGCAAATCCGTGGGTAAAATTATGTACTAAAAATTTCTGTATTAATTTTTCCATGTGCAAATCCATTTCGGGCAAATCCGTGTTAAAATTATCTACTAAAATTTTTTCTTTAATAGTTTGTATAATTTTTCCATGTGCAAATCCATTTCGGGCAAATTCGTGGCTAAAACTATTTGCAAAACATGCAATTTATGTTTCTCTTTTTTCTTAAATAAATATTTATATTCTAATATTATTTATGGTCAACTATTTAAATTATCAAGTATAATATTACCTTGCGCACATTCATTTCAGGCCCATCCATGGCAACTAACAAATCAATGCACAGCATAGCAAATCACTTCAGCACGCAGTAAGAACGGCACTTTAAAATCCTCTATTTACACTCAATTTGCGCTTTTGTTTTCATATTTTGTAATCTGGCAATCCTGTTGCGAAAATATTTTTAAATCATTCTTGAAAAATTTCCCGGTCATGTAAGGACATCTGATTTCGCTACTCACTTTACACATTTTGTTTTGTTTTACACTGTTTTTTCTTTTTATTTTATTTTATTTTCTGTTTTTACGTGTTATTTTTACTTATTGTGTTCTATTTTATTTATTGTAATTTTTGTAAAAAAAAAATTTTTGAGTGCTCCTCACACTATTGTAATAATATATTTTGCTTTGGCTATATTGATACAATATCAGAAAACACTCTTTTTTGCGGATATAATCGTGTAGGCTGATAAAAAGATTATATCTTTTATTTTCTTGCTTTTTAAAAAATTTCATCCTTTTTTCTTTTAAATCAGTTGTTATTTGTTGTTTTTTTTCATTATTATTCCCCCCTCCCTTTTGCATATGTCTATAATTTTCCTTTGTTTTGTCTTCATTTGAACTATAATATATTTTACATTTAATACATATAATACATTTTGAACTATATATATTTATATATATATATATTGATTGACTGACTCTATTACATGCGATTTTTATTGAGTCTTGTGTATGTTGTTAAATATTAAACAGGTTATGATTGACATAATTGTGAAATATACTACAGGTGAAATTTCCGGGTTACTGTTTCCATTGTATTTCAAAGCTATTTGGCATCATTCTGTTTTGAGATTCTTGCAAACAATGTATTTGATTACTTATTACTTGTGTTTACAATGCTAACAATACTTGTGTTTACAATGCTAAAAGTGCTAACACTAACGTAAGATGGTGCACAGCTTGCAACAAGAACAAACAGTAATACACCTATGGAAAGAGGCCAAATCAAGACTGCCAAAAAAGCGAGTTATTCAAAATCTAGCAACCATGTCATGTTTTTTAACAATATATTTCTAAATAACTAAATAAAATTTTCACTTCAAACTCACCAGAATTACATAATAACATTAATATCTTATGAAATACGGTAGATTTGAGCTCAGAAATTATCTAGTTTATTTCTTTTATTGAAAACAAATTTATCCGTTTGAAAATATCGCCTTGCAGAATAACATGTAGTAAGCAGCTTCAAACTTTCTAACCGGAACTAGAGCAGGCATACAGTTCGAGATTGTTATTGTTTACATTTCTACTGAAACCACCATCTATACTCTAAGTATCTTGCCTGCTGAGATATTTTACTAGACGAGTTCTGTTTCATTACAAGTTTGAAAATGTATTAATCATTCCAAGCTGATAATTTACAGTTCATACCGTAATTTTACAGTTTATAGTTTTCAAATGTTCAAACGTACTAGTGAGGCATACAAGTGTAGTTTTGTTAGTTTTAGAGAATAATGTGTATATAATTTTTCCAGCAAATAGAAAATTATCACACTTATTTCAATAACGAAACCAAATACGATATTTTATTTTATTTACAAGATCGAAGGTTACATAATATATACCGGAGCCTAAATTATAAATGAGAACAGCTTTTGCTGGTCTATTCCTCAGAACTCGGAGCCTAAATTATAAATGAGAACAGCTTTTGCTGGTCTATTCCTCAGAACTATCTTTACTGAGTTTATTTTTAGCTCCTCGAATTTTAAAGTTATGGTATTGTTTCATTTGTTTGAGTTTTTCAATTTCAAAAATTTTTTGGAATTCAATTCTATCCATTTCATATCTTTTTTGGAGCTCTATCACTTCCAAACGACGACGATGTTCCTCAACTGCAATATCCATGACATCCTTGATCGTCGAATGCTTGGTACCTAAAAGAACATTGCACAGAGTGGTTATTATTTAAGTTATACTGAAATCTCTTCACATGGAGTCAACGCTAAGTAGCGGATGCTAATGAAGAATCGCATTACATGTAAGGGGCAAGATTTTGTACTTATCCTTATTAACTTGAATAAGTTAAAATAATATTGTAATTCTTAGGAAACGATTAAAAAAAAAGTTATTTTGCTCTTGATTTAAGTTTTTTAAGCACCATAAAAAAGAACTATATGGTAACTGTAAATGATACTTCAAGTTAGCTTTATATCAAAATTTTATCTCAATACATAAACATTTTAACAACACCATTGTTATTAAAAGTACATTTTATTTTATTTTATAACCGTTGTTAAACAGCTAACCCAATTTTTGGGTTTACGAATACTAATATTCAACTCCGTAGCCTTGTAATTTTGAACGCCATCCAGAAAACAAAGGAACTCCTGGATCAAGTATTGAGTGAAATGGTTCCTTCATGAAAGACTTTTTAATGGAACTAACTCACATTTGTGTTACATGAAAAGGAAAACCACAAAAACCTCCCACGTTCCGCCTGACAGCTAGAGGACTTTTGCCCATGATCCGTCTACAACTGAGGATATTTTACGTCTGCACTGTGGTGGGTGCGAGCCGAGTGCGGAATTCCTATCGCCCAGCAATTGACAGGATTCGGGCCCTGTTCACCTCATGGGTGGGAGAAAACTCTGTCCCCTGCGCCATCACAGCTCCGATATAGATTCTTGTCTAGTTTTTAGGTTTTGTGTTATTAATATCCTCCCTCCTCAAGATTTTTTAAGCATTTTAATTTGTAATACAATAATTTATTAATGAAA